CTGGCCAGTTCCCTGGGAAAAAACAGGGAGGACTTTGTTATAAAGACCAGATGTTCTTAACATCAAGATAAGGAATGTGATACATTCTGCCCCTCCCGGATCTCTGGCCAGGGCCTGGTTGGGACGTGACTGCAAGCACATTCACCTTTTTTCCGCGCCAAAAGTACAGGTAGTTTTACTACCTTTGTCTAGAGAGCTATATAAACAGCCCGCCTAGCCCAGGCTGCTTGCTGCTGCTGCTGTTTTATGCCTGGGATTGAGACTTGTAGCCGAAGGGACTGCAGAAAAGAGCCGTGCTGTGTTGCGAGTGATGAACCTAATTCCTCCAACATTCGGGTGTTGTTGCCAGAGAGCCTAAGGGTAGTTTCCCGATAGAGTCCCTCTTGCTGTTAGAGGACTCCCCTCTTTCTTTGTCCTCCCCATTCTTACTTTCATTTTCTGTATGCGCATATCCTTCAATAAACTTTCCCTTTTGTACTTATTTAAGGCTGGTGGACATTCTTTTAGCGGATCGAGCCAAATTAATTAGGAGACCGTGCACGGCAAAGGGCAATAAATAAAATTTGTCCTTACAAAAATGCTGTGGGAGTCAAAATGCATGAAGTTGTTCTCCAATTCTCCATCAAACAGACTACAGTAATAACCTTGATTGTGTCCTGGCTCAAGCACAAATTTTAAGTAACTTCCCTAAGCAATGTATCACATCCTGGAGCTGCATTTGAAACCCAAGAATCTGACTCTGTAAATGCTACCACTCAGAAAGACAGGTGTTTAAGACCATTGATTATAGGTAGGCTTAACAGAAAAGGAAATACAGAGGCAGGATGCTAACAAGTTAGCTTGGGATTGGCAGTGAGAAGTTCTTACTCAAAAGTAGCTCCTTGATACTAGTTTAAAACTGTACAAATGTTCTTGAGTCTCTTCCTTATTCATTAAATAAGATCTGAATAAACAGGTAATAATGAAGAAAAATTTAGGTGTACATAAAGGAAGTAGAGACTTTAACAATTTTCTGGAAGTCCAAAAGTACATGGAAGTCTGCTGATGAAAAAGTAAGAGAAGCTCAATGCAGGGGAAAGCCAAACTCTGGAGAAGACCAGAATGTTCTAAGGACTAAGGATGGAGTATGTAGCACAGAGCAGAGTAAGAATGAAATAAAAAACATACATTTAATGCCTGCCTATACAGCAATTATACTTATTTATACACACCACTCCTTACCTCCCTCTTCCATCATATAATACACTTACTATCCTAAAAACCTTTGAAAAAGTGCCTAGAGTGAGGTATCCTTCTTGTATGGGTGTAGATATCCAGAAGCAGCCCTCATTCTGGAATTTAGGGAATGTCTCATTTACAAGATAGGTGTCTCTGACTCAACGCAACACTTGTCAGTCAACAAGGCTTACTCAGAGAGAAAACTCCCAAAATGGCCTTCACATTCAGGGGAGGGTCCTATGAGGATAAGTACTTGTTCACCATCAGAAATCCATAACAACTATTTGGCTTGAGTAACCCAGTTTTTAAATTCTGAAATATCAACAAATAACCACAGATTACTAGTCATACAAAGATACCTAGAGGCAAAGAAAAGAGAAAGATTAACAAAACTGACCTGTTAAAGACATAATTCAGGAAAGAAAAAAACTAAAATTGCTAACAAGCCTCCCAGAGTGATCGTAGGATATTTTGCATCCAAAAACTGGTGTCTGCTCATCAGGTCTAGATAGTCAAAATGAGAACCATAATCAGTGGATTCTAAGAAATCTGATTTCAAATAAGGAATGGAAGGCCTCTAGTCAATAAATGGAATTAATTCAATGTTGTAAGATGTTTGCAAGTTTAATTAAGCCTTGGAAGAGATTTCTCTCTAAAAAAATAACAAAAACCAGAAGGTGCTTTAAAAATTATTTACCAAAAGCTAAATCTAAACAAATTCTAGAGTCCTAATTTTTAACAATCTTATTAAGAAAAAAAAACTTTTTGACTTGGATGTTGAGAATATAAATATCCTAGTATAATTAAAACTTTTAATAATAATAATAATTATTATTATTACTATTATTGCTAATGTGAATAATAATAATGTGAATGGTATCTATTGCTTTCCTTCATGTAGGATCAATCTATAGATAAGGCATAGAAACAGTGTTGTTAGCAAAACAAATATAGAGCTATCTGTTTGAGCTAATTTTCTGTAACATTTGCAAATAATTTGCTATTGCTATATAATAAATGAAACAAAAAAAAAACCTTTTGGCTTTTAGAGGCAGTCTTACTTTCTCATGGCTGAGACACAATACCTGACATCCACAATCTAAAGAGAGGGGTTTGTTTCAGCTCATGTCTGTTGTCCATAGTTGGCTGGCTCCAAGGTAGGAATTACAAATGGAAGAGACTGGTAAAAGAAAGCCATTCACTTCATGAAAAAAAGGAGAAGTCAGTGAAGGATATATCCTTCAGGTTATGTCTACAGTGACCCATCTCTATCCAGGCAGCACCTCCTAACCAAGCCAGCTGTATCTTCATAATCCAGTTATCTTCTACAAACTCCACCTCTGAGGGTATGAAACTTTGGAGGACATTCCAGATGTAAATCACAATTTTCTACCCTAGGACTCTAAAAAAGCCAATGTGCCTCTCTTTATGTGAAGTGAATTTAGTCTATCTCTAAGAGTTGTCAAAGTCTTAACACTTTCAATATTGCTGAAAAGTCCAGACCCAAAGTTGCTTCCTCTGAGACTCAAGGCAAACTCTTAGCTGTGAGTTACTGTGAAAATAAGAAAGTTAAACGTTGTCATCATACAATTCACAGAGTAATGCTACTATACCAAAAAGGAAGAATAAGGGGGTTGAATATAATGGTATCAAACCAATGCTGAAAACCAGCTGGGCAAACATTAGATCCTGTATTCTGTGTCTAGTGCCTGGGTCAAGTTGTGAAGATAAATGTGAACTCCAAATGGCCCCACTGTTATGGCCTTGCTGGTGGCAGCCCACATGGCTTCTCTTTTGGGGTGTCTTCATTCATTGCCTACAGCTTTATTCAGACATTCCATGCTCCTGCTTCTCCAAATGTGTGGTCTTTTCTGCCCTTTCAGCTTCACCCTCACAGGTTCTACACTGTTCTCTAAGGGGCACATGCATGGCTCCCCAGGCTTTATACTGAAATCTGCATAGGAGAATCTCTGATCTCACAGAATTTGCATTTTTCATGCCAGTAACCATATGTATAAAGCCAAGGTGTGCCTCTAGCTTAAATGGTAGCTGAGATCCCTTGGATCATGGCTGCAGAGGCTTCCAGGTGCCTGAATGCATTTTGTGCATGTGTTCAGTGCAGGAATCAAACTCAAAGCCTCACACTAAGCCGAGTCCTCAGCACCATTCTGTTAATCTTATGCTTTAGTGCCATTTCTATTTTCTATTTTCCTTCATGTCTTTAAATCAAGTACATGAGTTTTTATTTTATGAGTTAATTCTATTCATAATTTTTGGATCTCTGTTGAAAACTTTTCATATCCTTCTAACAGTGCTTTTTTGCTGTCGCTACTCACTGTCAGATTGTCACTTACTGATGCATTTGCTTGTCTATTCTATAGGTATTTATTACATGCTTACTACTTAACAGGCATCATATATGTCGCTGGAGGCTTATTCTGGAGATACAAGAGCAAACCAAGTAATTTTTGGTCTTACTTAAAAGATCTGGAATGTTGCCTCAATCCCTCATGTGCTCACAGTAAGAATTAACAATGCTACAAAAGACCTTTGAGTTACACCTGGCCTGACACAAACAAAATGGATTATGATTAGAATTTTAGTTTTAACTTATGACCAAAGTCTTGAGTTATGACTCAAGTGCTGGTCGCTTGTGCTTCCAGATGATCTCAGATGCAGATTTAACAATTCAAGAGTTCTGGAAGGAATATTACACCATTCTTTCCTGGTTAATTGAGAAATCTTGGGCCAATGTCTCCCTAGGGACACTGAGATCTGCCTGTATAGAGGAGAGAGACTTTGAAGGCTGTGTAGAGGACCCTGAGCCTTTACCTTGAGAAACACAAAAATATATGTCTTTCTATGAGCAATAAAAGAATAGAAAACCAAGAGAAAAATATTCATAAGAATCTAATATTAATACATTTCCCAAACATACTGGAAATAATTCAGCAAAAGAAATGTGGTATTTTTATTTTCTTCAGTTGACTTCTGTGTTATCTAATCCATTTTTATAAAGATAAAAGCTGAGATGTAAACTCAGCAAGGGTAGAGACTTTTTTCTGCAAATGACAATTGTTGCATGAGACAATAATAAAACGGAAATTCTGTATCAAATTACATATTGTAGCCCACTTATTAAAATAGTAAATAAAAATCTTACAGTATTTCTAAGATTTAAAACATGAACAATTGACCTGCTCAGGATGATGGCGTAGCCTTATTCCCAAAATATGCCTGGGGTGGGCACCAAGAAGTCCTAGAGTAAGTGTTCTGAGAAGTTTGTGTGTCTGCATATCCAAAACTGAAGAACTGAGTGAGAGCTGAACAGTTAATTACATAAATAAGCAGGAAAAAAAACTCGAAGGTGATTTTTGGCAAGCAAAATCCTTCCCGTGACTATTTTCACATGGTAAGTGGTGAACAGAGGACTCCACAGTAGACGATTTATAAGGTGAAGAGAAGTTCACAGAACTACAGAGTGAGGAAAACTGAACTGAGGTAGAAAGTTGTTTTCAGCCCTGGTGGCATATTAGAGCCACTTTGGGACAGTTCTTTTAGACATTAAATAACTCCAGAAAATACTAGCTAAACAAAGTATCTGCATGTGAAAAATAGCTCAATAAAATCAGCATGTCCTGTGGTAGGCTTGTTTGTGAGCACATTTTCAAGCTCTCTGGCAACTCTAATGTGTCAAGCTGGTTAAGAATCACAGTCCTAATGCTTAAATGTAATAATAATTAGACAATTGCTCCTTGCGCTTTATCCTGCACAGGACTCACCTGGAATTCTGTTAAAGTACAGGTTTTTTTCCTCAGTAGCACTGGGGTGAAACTTCAGATAAACCTGGCAAATTAAAAAAAGAATGGATTAACAATATCTGGGCCCTATCCACAACGGTTCTATCTCATTCCTATAGGACACAGTTTAGGTATTGGAATTTAGGTGATTTTTTTTTTTTTGGTATTGGGGATCAAACTCAGGACCTTGTGCTTGCAAGGCAGGTGGGAGCTGTAGGTAATTTATAATATGCAGCAAAACTTCAGGCTACTGTCTCAGACAATGAAATAGCAAAGACTAACTGGCTAACTTCAAATCAGAAAAAATGAGAATAGTAACATTTGCAGCTGATCGGTCAATCTATACACAGGTCTCGTAATCTATAGACCAACTCTCAAAAGTCTGTATTTTTATTTTCTCTAGATTTGCTTTGGTTTCTCATTTTCCTGTGACAGCAGATAGAACTGACTAGGGCCAGCTTATTTTAGATTTGTGAACTTTCTCCTGTTCCCAGCACTATCGTTTTATTTCATTTATTTATAAAGAAGGCAGTTTCTTCACCCCATGGGCAAATGAGTTTGAAAGCTCTAGGTTACACAGCATCTACTACACTTTGACTGTAGGTCACCTGGCAACTCCCCAGCATAGTTCTCTTTAATAAAAAGTCATCTGCACATGAAACAATTATCCATAGAAGTTTTAGACATTGCCCCAGTACATACACTAACAAGGTGTCCCTCACAAATGACACTCAGGAATAGTCACAGCCACACAGCCAGTAGTGAAGCCCGTGAAGAGTTTATACATCGAAACTTCCCCCAAAGCTGCCTGTGTTACAGGCACTGTTGGGAGGTGTTGGAAACTTCTGAGGTGAGGCCCAGTGGGAAGTCTTAGGTCAGCAGGGGAATGTTGTCAGTAAGGGTCGCGGGTCTTTGCTCTCCCTCTCGTCTCCCCTTCCCTCCCCTTACTTCTCGGACATCCCGGCCATGAAGTAAGTCACTCTATCACACACTGTCACCATGATGCACTGCCCTAACACAGGCCCAAACGCATTGAGGCCAATGACCTTGGGGAGAAACCTCTAACACCATGAGCCAAGGTAAACCTTCCCTCTTTTTAAATTGATCATCTCAGGCATTATTACACTAATGGAAAACTAACAAAGCTCTAATCCCTGTGGAAAGAATGTGTCATCTGTCCTTCTCTAACTGCAGCCCCTACCTCATGTCTGCACTGACTGTGTGGCCTTTACGTTATCGGTCACTAGAGTACGTTCCTTTGCAATTGGTAATTCTCTTCTCTGACTGTCCCCTGCAAAGGCTTTCACTTCATACGTAATCTATAACTACTGCCAGCATCCATAAAACAGTAACAGGCTAATTTCTTAGCTCTAAGAATAAAATCAAATCCCAGATCTGACACTGTCTCATTTTATCTTGAAAATTCATGTTTAGAGTTTATCATTATAGTAATATAATAATAATGTAATAATCAACTAGTCTGATTATTAACTACTCAGAATATAGCTCCCTCCGTATGAGAGGAAAACAAGGGCTATAGTATATGCTCCTATTACTTGTAATTCTAATAAACTCATATGATAATTTTGGTCATAATCACTGAGGAATTTGTATTTCACCAACTTTAAAGCCAAAATGCCCACATATTTAGAAGTTAAACATTTTTGGTTTTAGTTAAATATAGATCTATAAAGATGATATATGAACAAAATAATTTGTTAAAGTCTGACTATTCACCATAGGTTAAAATAAGCTTACATTTATCACTGAAAGATCTCAGTACAAATGTTGAGGAAGGTGTAAAAAAATGTTTCTGGCTAAGAAAATTGCATTTTTTTAAAAAAATTAAAATCTAAAGTAGCTTAATGAAAACTTAAAGGAATATTTTAAAAAGAGGTCGCATTTAATATTTCTAAATAGTTTTCTAAAACAGTTACTTAATGTAAAAATTTGTCTTGAAAAGCATCAAACTATTTAGAATATACCCGAGCTTACAGAGAGGGTGTCTGAATATACCAAGAAACAATCTGGGATGAGAAGGCTCCTGGATTGCCACATGTGCTTCCTGCCCGGGTCATGGCTCCCTACAGGTTTTCCTGGAGCCTTGCAGTGTGCTTGGCTTACAGGACGACAGGAGGGAGCACAGTGCTGTACCATGCTGACAGGCACACTTCTTCAATTCCAGGTTAAAATCGGGAGGAAAAATTTCAACTACTTCCAACCAGCTGGACGACACAGGCATGTGAGGAGCTCTGAGAGCCAAAGCAACCAGGTAGGTACCTGTCACACAGTGAATATCTAATGAACATCTCGGTAAACACGTTAACATAAGTCTTACTGCATTTAAAATTTTGATACATAGAAAGTAGAGCTATGAATGGACCTTACATTTAATATAATTGTTTTACTGTGAAGATAAGATGTTTGCCCCGATTTTCAAGACTACTAAGGACAAAGCCAAGCGTGCCATTTCAGTGCTTTTAGTTATATAGCCCACACATAACAATGGCTTCTTCTCCAGCATGAATAGGGAATCCATTTTTCTTATCTTCTTTCCCAATTCTCATCAACTACAACTTTTTAAAATTTATTTGATGACAAGAGAATCTGTGTACACACACACACACACACACACACTCATCTGTTACAGCATATTTTATTTACTTCAGCATCTACTTGCAGGAATAAATTGCTGTTTACAGTACTACTGACCCAGTAATACACAGGGTATGTAAGTTTTGCCAAATTCTCCAAAAGGATAAAGCATTTACTTACTGTCATACTGATAAGACAACCAAAGAGATGCTAAAATTGCAACAGTAACTAACAAATTTATACTATGCTTTCCTTCATTCCTATGTTCCATGTATTCTTTCTAGGGTCTTCATTTTTTGGAAAATATCCAGATTTCTAACATTTTAATTTATAAAGCACTCCATATTTTTATTTAGGGCTGCCAAAGATAGTATTTTAAAACCACAATATGCATTTTCCAGAACCCCAGCTCAAAGCTTCATGCTTGTGTACAAAATATAGGTTCTGAGACACATCACCTCTCAGCTCTTCCATTTACTGTCTGAAGTGGGAGGGACGATTTACCACGGAGGCAGCTGCGAGAACAATGCACCAATCTGAACCCAAATGGCGTTTAAAGTTGAGCAGTGAAATATACTGTGCAACTCACAATTATATTAAGAAATGAAACTTCAAATACGACAGGTGTGCTCTAAGTTGACTATTTTCTGCAACAAAAAATATTCACATTTAATAAAACTGTTCTAAGTAAAATGGCTGCTACATTTTTTTTTAAAAAAAAGCCAACAACCAAGCAGATGTATTAGTTTTCTATTAGCAAATTACCGCAGGGTTAACAGCTTACAACACAAATTTACTACTTCACAGCTCCTTGGGTCTGAAACCAATGACACTCAATTATTTGTTCAGGTCTTATGAGGTGATCGAGGTGTAGCCAGACTTTGCTGGAGGCTCTATGGAGAACCTGCTACTAAGCCTCACCAGGTCTCTTGATAAATACTTATTAGAGGTGAATGCGCCGGCCCCGTTTCCTTCCTGGCTGCTGTCAGAGCTGCTATCAAGTCTCCACCTGGCAAGTCAGCAGTCTCCTCCTCCAGGAGAATCCCTCACACCAACATTCCTGGAGGACCAGCCCACTCCCTCTCAAGCGCTCACTATACTAGGTCAGAACTACCAACACCGGCTCCCATTTCACACTCCTCTGAAACTTGAATTATGTCAGGAAAGCGACTTACTATTTGATTCCGTAAGTGAGGGACGTATGTACCCCAGGGAAGGGAGAACCTTGGAGACCATTTCAATATTGTTTCACACAGCAAGCCAACCAGGATATACTCTATTCAACAGGAATTACTAAATTATTTATATGCTTCAAGTCATAAAATCTTTAAGCATGTAAATGCAATCCTTTCTCCAGCTTTGAGCTATAACTGAAAAATTAAAATAGAATATATTTAATACTATGTTTATATGTGAATACACTGTGAAATAATTTCCACCACAAAGCTGACATACTCATCTTCTCACATAGTTACTTTTGTGTACAAGTGGTAAGAACACTTCAGACCTATTCTCAGCAAATTCAAGTATCCTGTATTTTTATTTTTTTATTTTTATTTTTTTTCTCATTGAGTTTACTGGTCCATTTCAGGTATACAATACAGTTACATTCATCATTGGGATCTTGTACCTTTACATGACAGGTCTTGGTTCGCATTTTTTCCCCTTACCCCTGCCCTCCCTTTATACCCTCCTCCCTTCCCTATCTACAAATACATTATTTTCATTTTCTCATTATTTTTTCTTTTCCTTTATTTCCTTTCCCCTACCCTTCCCACTATCCCTACACCTTTATCCCTTTTCTTCCTATTTCACATTGTCAATTATACCATTAGGGTCTTATGTACAATTACAGTTTTTCACACTACAGAAACTATTTGGAATATACATGTGTGACTTATTTATTTCACTTAAGAGTATATCCTCAATAAGCATCCATTTTCCTATGAATGACTCTAATTTCTCATTCTTTATGGCTGAGTAGTATTCCATTTTATAGAAAAACCACATTTTCTTTATCTAGTCTCCAACTGATGGGCAAATGACAGGGGTTGGTTCGCATTTTTTCCCCTTACCCCTGCCCTCCCTTTATACCCTCCTCCCTTCCCTATCTACAAATACATTATTTTCATTTTCTCATTATTTTTTCTTTTCCTTTATTTCCTTTCCCCTACCCTTCCCACTATCCCTACACCTTTATCCCTTTTCTTCCTATTTCACATTGTCAATTATACCATTAGGGTCTTATGTACAATTACAGTTTTTCACACTACAGAAACTATTTGGAATATACATGTGTGACTTATTTATTTCACTTAAGAGTATATCCTCAATAAGCATCCATTTTCCTATGAATGACTCTAATTTCTCATTCTTTATGGCTGAGTAGTATTCCATTTTATAGAAAAACCACATTTTCTTTATCTAGTCTCCAACTGATGGGCAAATGGG